TGGCTGGAAATATGCCTGACGATAAAGACATGTTAAAAATAATTTCAAGTGGAATACAAACAGTTTGTGATGTATTTCTTAACATATGATGACTTATTCAATCCTCACCCGAGGCCTTTCCGAGCTTCAATATCTGTAAAACATCACGGATTTCATTTCTATTTACTCTTACAGAACTAAACGTTTTATTGGTTTTAGACTCAACTACAGGAACTGCAGTGTTTCTATCATCGACTTGTGTAATATTACAAAAATATTCATTTAATAAGTTAGCTTTGTCTTCATCATTAGTAACAACATTATTAGTATGAGGATCTACAAGAGAAGGAATAGATTGTGAAGTTCCAGTTGAATTCATTAACCTTTTAATAAGTCTCCAATAAGATTTTGGATCAGACGACACAAATTCTTCAATTATACCATGAACATTCTCATAAAATAATAAACGGGCGTGTTTTTTCATGTTGTTAACCTTATTTCGTTGAGACTTAAATTTATTAACATCCGAAAGGCGCTTGGTTGACCTCGCGATTTTATGTAACATATCACGAATTCTCAAATTTTTCCTTAATTCAGAGGTCATCCAAGGTTTATCATTAGGTCTAATAGTGACCACTTTAGATGGAATGCATGAATTCGCAAAATCTAAAAAAATATCAGTAAAACGTTTACAAGCAATATCAATTGTGTTACAATCAAGGAAAAGATCATTCCAATTATAATTAGAAATAAGATTATTAAACGTTCGGAAATCAGCCCTTTTATACATCCAGATTTTACGCTTATAAATAGATCTAAAAGCACATGGAAGGTTAATGCAAGCAGTACAGCTATCATGATCACTGAAGGATTTATCAACTGGTATTATAGAAGAATCAATACAAGAAATAGACTGAGTTAAGAGAATGGGATCCAGAAGGCTGGATCGAGTTGGTCCAGTACGAGTTGGTTCGTTTATGACATTAATCATACTAAAAGAACTTATAATTTCGAAAAGATAATGGTTAGGAGATGCAGTTAATAAGTCGACATTTAAATCATCAGTTACTATTATATTTGGTGTTATGTCTAAAGCATTACTAATAGATGTACGCACATTGTCCCAAAAGGGTAACACAGAATTTTCTGGTCTATATGCTGTACCTATGATGAAAGACGAATTGGTTAGTGTGATTTTAATCCAAATTACCTCATCCCCAGGAAATTCTAACTCCGGTAAGCGGTTTACTTTTAGAAGATCGTTTATGTAGACCAGAACACCTCCACCAGCAAAATTCCTATCAAGTCGAAAAGGTTCATGAAATCCAGCTATAAGTAAATCATCTGTAGGTATCTGATCATCTAAATGGGTTTCTGTTAGACATACAATATCATACTCACCTGCTATATCTTCTACATAATCAAGTTTATTCCTAACACTTCTGATATTAAGGTGAAAAATCGAAAGCTCGTTAAGGCCCGGGCCAGGATTGGATTCAATGTCCATATGTTGCAATAAAAGTAGCAACAAGATTACTGAAAATTCAAAATTTTGAAAACAGGAGAGCAATAATTTATTTAAACTATAGATTGACCAAGAAAGATAAAGACGACCACAGTCGAACATGCTTAAAATTAACCTGAGATTTAATGATAAAAATAGAAGTGATTTCATAACGCATTTACCGTAGACCTTTGAATAGAAGATACCGATCGCTATTCTGTGACACATGTAAGAATCACCCATTATCAAATAAACCGAGACGTAAGTTTACAAAATAGCGAAACGGTATCGTACATAGTAGACAGTGTGAAAACCAGCAAAAGGTTTTGTTTATCTGCGTAAATGAGAAGAAATGAGCAAAAAAAGCCCCGATGTGAGCATACAAAAATGAAAAATTACACTTAAAAAAATGCAATAAGCCGGATAATCAAAGTCACGTGAAGCAATGAGATAATCGACATGTAGACATGTAGACACAGGCAGACAGTCATACAGTGGTTAACATAATAAAACATAACATATGTACAATAATGATAGTAACTTGTAGTACGAGTCATGACAGAACGATGTGGTACATCGTGATTCTGTGAGAACATCAAAGAAAATGAGAGATTACGATACTATTGTAAATAGAAACGAAATTGGATACTAAAAGATTGGTAAGGTATGCTGACATTGATTATTTGTTCATGTACTTGAGAAGACGATGTTCAGGCAGGTATGAATTATATACATGTATTCAGTAATATATGAATAATATCCAATATTTTTACTCTCAACGACCTTCCTCATGCAAAATATACTTGCAGTCATATAAATTTGAAAAGTGTTTACATATAAGCACAGAGATATATACAAATATTCACACATGTGTGTGTATAATTGCACACATACACGATACCCGTTTATGCTGTAAAGTGCTTTAATTACGCGGTGTCAAAAAAACTTGACCCGTGAACACAATTTCGCCGGAGATTTGAAATTCGCGCACTGATAGAAAATCACGCATATACATGTAGTGAAATGTAACGTCCGCGAAATAAAAACGCTTTACGGTATACACACACACACCTTCTCTCGCTCACACACATACATCCATCACACTCACACACACCCTCACACACACGTGCACGCATATATACACATGTTCACGCGCACAGACATACGTGACAACTCACGCACGCATTAACGTAGACACCTGCGAATGCACATGTGTACGTTTACAAACGCACAGACACACCACCACCACCACACGCACACACCTCAAGAACACATACTCGCACACATTCACACACCCACCCTCACACATCATCACACACACACCACCACACGCACGTGTACACACACAGGCAAATACAATACTATAAGGTTTTACAATATATACATATAGACACATATATATACACAATTATCACATATGTATGTACAAATAGCACGCACGCGCAAACTTCTTTAATATAGTTGTATACACATGCACTTATACTAATTTATCCGCTCGCTCATCTAAACATCACGCACGTATTCACACGATCATGCACGCACATAGTGCACAAACATGTACAAAGCAGATATAACAGTTGCTTGTATGTTGCTAGATGTCAGCATATTGTTATATTTACAATTATTACAAATCCGTATACATTTTTGTGTATTCTGTTTCAACTTACACACAACACGTTTCATATCAAGTTGGTAAATATACATAGTTGCAAAACATTGTTTTCATTTGTAATGGACACATTGAGCATGAAAATATGTACATGCATAAGTTTTGTACAAGTTTACGATAAATGATCTACAGTAGAACAGTGAAACCGACATGGAACTTTCAGGAACACTGACGGCTGTATCAGTGATAGAAAACAATGATTACAAGGGTAAGTACGCAGGAACATGTACACAAATCTCAAGCATGTAACTAAAGTATATGATTTAGTACAATCGAAACTCACTAAGGTAAAATGTCAATGTTGTGAGCTTCAATTGATTTAAGTATTTTATTCAAACATTTTTAACATACTATATATGTCACAGACAGTTCGTATCAATGGTACATACACTAATGTATGGCAAAGTTTGGTTATCGATCTCAACACAGAAATTGATTAAAAGGTATACAGTTCTCACAGCTCACATTACACAACCTGTCCTTAGCTCATCACGTGACACTTTTGAAAAAAGTTGTTCAACATATTCCAGAGAAACTTTGCTTTGTTGTTCATAACAATACACTGGACCAAACCATTTGTATCTGGCGTGGGTTTTTGGAACTGCTGAGCTATCTTTGTTCGAAAGAATGTGAACTTAAGACAGCTGACTACACCTTTATCAAATGCAAAGCATGGGCAGACTCCTTCCTCGCTTTAAGCAGAGTTAGAAAAGGGTACCAACCAGAAAACATCACCCCCTATATGCATTGTTTGCTGTACCACGTTCCCCATTTCGTGTCAAAATTCGGGTCATTAAAAAAATTTAGCGGACAAAGTGTCGAAAAAACACATGACGACATCAAACGAATTTATCATCAAAAAACAAAGTTGACCCCACTGTAGATGCTCTTAAAGTTGGAAAACGTATGGAAATGTGTAGCAAAATGCAAAGGTTGCCCAGATGTTATGAGATAAGGAACGCTGATTACTGGGAAAGGGATATTTTTGACAGGAGAAGAAAGAAAAAAACCAAAATTTTGGAAGAAATTCAAAGCAAAACAAACATCCCCGAGAAATGGGAAAAAAGTACTTCTGACGAATTAAATGAAATGTCTGTTTCGGAAATTTATGTTAAATTAACAGACTTGGGCATCAAAACAAAACTTCGAAAAAAAGAAAAACTGATAGATTTATTCTTGGAGAATGTACGGAGACATATTGACTGAAATACACACTACGGTTTCAGGATCACAATGGATTTTTTTGCTGTGTCGTTATATTTATTACACTTTTTAATCGCCACCGACATAAATTTGAAACTTTGATTTATGTGTACATTTTGTATTGTATTCTTAAAGCTCTATTTATTTTCATGTATGTATTTCTACAGTCAACTTCATTGTTAGCATTGTACCAATGATAAAATATTTCTTGATAAGACAGAAATAAAAATAAAATATATACAATAATAATAATAATTTAATGTTGTTATTCTGTAAAGGAAATAAAAGGTCAAGTATGTTTATCACAGTCTGATTTTGGTCCTATGTATAGAATGTACAGGTAACATGATTATCCCGACTTGCCCCCAGTTGGGATTTAAGGTGCAGTAATAGTTATCTCCCTTAAACAGGCAAAATTGCTGGTAATGATTGGTTTCCATTGTATCACTAGAATGTTTGAAAAAGCAATAATCATTTACTCATGTTACAAGTAATATTTTCCTCAAAAAACTGATTGGGTCGAAGGCACGATGACTGCCATAGAGACAGTATCACTGATTGTTACGAAATTTTATGTCACATCTCTGCTTGGATATTGGTTCTTTTGAAGGATAAACAACCGCGTTCGTACACTCTAATGTATTGCTATTTGTTACGAAGTTTCTTGTCAAATCCTGACATGGATATTGGTTTTGTTGAAGCGTAGGTCTCCGCTTTCTTACACACTCTACAGTATCGATGTTTATTGCGAAGCTGATTTTTAGAAAATTCATCGACCGGAAACAAACGGAGGCAGCCGATACACTTAGTTGTCGCTTCCGGAAACTCGAATGCATCTCCAGGTTCTGGTATTATGTCAAGTGGCAGGAAAGCATGAGTTTCATATATCCCATACACTCTCTTTGTCAAGCAACGGAAGGTGTCGGCGTAGCGATCTGAGGCGATGCGCAGACGACACTTATTTTTTCCCTTACCTTTCAGCTTCTCGTACAAAATAAATAAGGCAGAAGTGTCCACACAACAGTACTTCTTCAGATTTTCTGATAGTGGTCTTGTCTTCCATACATGGCTATCACCAATCACCTGTCTCTGACATCTTAATTTTGATTCAACCATTGTCTGATCTTTAACATATACTTCAATACACTTCCTAATTCCATTCAATAGTTGCACCTCCCCAGTCCTTGAACATCGCCTGGATCCTTCCTCAATTTCGAACACTTTTCTTCTCCTGTACATGACTTCCAGGAGTTGGACATCCAGAACGCCCGATAACTGCACTTTCTGCTGATGCCAAAGATTATCCGCATCACGACGGCAATCGAACATGAGTTTCTCTTTCGTTTCGTCCTCGAGAATAGCACGAAGACCATTGTCGAAAACATTCTCTTGCAATTTTTGAACGTCAAAGATGAAGACTTGAATTGGTGTTGCTACGACGATAATGGTCAAATCCCCCGACCTTCCTCCTCCTAACTTATGTCCCTTACAATCTACTGCCAGTAGATCATGGCGTCTTATTTCTGTGAGGGCGACGGTTACATCGGCCATATTGTCTACAAACATATAGTTTGCACCTGTTGACTTAGACATCTGTTTTGCGCACGCCATTTGTCGAACCTCAAAATAAAATTGAAAATAGATCAATCATATTTCCGCTGTAATTTTACCTGGTCTTCTCAACGGGCAAGCACGTGACACGAATTCCTGTCCCTACAGTCAGTATTAACGTGGCAGTGTCAATTTTACTTTTATCTATTTATATATATTTTTATAAATGTACATGTCCAACCGGTTTGTTTTGTCAGTGTATGTTCTAAGAATTTCTCACCTGTGTTTTGTTATGTAAATGTCTTGTCACGTGATTACACGCTTGTTCGTGCACCTGTATGTTCTGTATCGTTATTCACGCGCTGGACAGAGACATGGACAGTCGCAATTATATGTAGCTACGTACGGACGACTGTGGTGGCAAATATACATTTTAAAATAGTAAGTATTTGAAATATCATTTAATTATTTTAAAGGATAATGTTAGTTAACTTTTACAGAATTAGTATTTTCGTATTTATTGAAATATTTGAAGAAATTGAAATATCTCTTTGTGGTTTTTCACTTTTTTTATGATTATTCCTTTTGTAATGGGAATAATATTTTTTGCAGAATTATCTTAAAGAAATTTATTACAAATATAGTTGATTACGTTTTGTTGTTTTTCTTTCAACAGAACCATAGATCATTTTATTGTAAAAAAGATGTTATATCTTGAGACCCCTGTCAGATTGATAGGGTAGGTATATTATGCATATATATTATTTAACTATTTACTACATCTGTGTAATACAAATGGTAAATCCTATAGTTTATCATGTGTTGGCATTGGATGTATATATTTTGATGAATTCGTAAAGTTTAGTGTAACCGTTACGGGAAATATAAATATGTGTAAAAAAGTAAAGTTGACTCCATGTCCAGAAAAGCGTCTCAGGAGCTCCAACACACCCAATGGTGACAGCGCAGAGCGCCCACAGGCCCGCGCTCGCACAACGTCTCCGACTTATTATCAATCACTGGAATTTGAAAGACCTGACTCAGCAACACGACCTCGGGACTGTCGTACTCAGCAGCCTGATCCTAGTACCGCGCCATCGCGTCCAAGTCCGCGCGCACCGCACAGTAGTGATGGAGTCGCAACTTCGCACCAGTACGACCAACCTCCGGAAGTGACAAGAGACCACATACGGATGCGACCACGAGATGGACCGGCACAGCCCCTTGATCAGCATGCTGCGTCTCGGCATCAAGAATCGCGGGGTCGTAACGATTTCGCGATGCCTTCGTCCAGTAGATGGCGTGGGAATAATTGGAGGGCCTCATCGCAATCAAGAGGAAGAGGTACGGACTATCGCGGCGATTCGGCCGGGTGAGGCTCGCGTAACCAACGAGGTAGATAGGAAATCGGGGAGAGTGTGACAATTATATCGTGGAACGTATGTAGATCGCTCAAGGAAAAATTGACTGAAAGTAGTTTTTTGGATATTATTTGTAGTCATGATATAATTTGTCTTTATGAATGCTGGGTAAAAGAAGATGACGACATACAGTTACCTAATTATACAACACACGTTGTACCTAGAATAGAAAGTAAAGGTGGGGCATTGTAATATTTTATAAGAATGATTTAAAACCCAATTGTACTATTGTCAAAAATGTAACCGAAAGTATAGTAATAATGAAATTATCGCAATGTTTGTCATTTGATGGTAAAGACACGTATATTTTTATAAATTATTTCCCACCGATCAAAAGCACTTACTATGATACACATGAAGTAGATCTCTTTAGTATGTTAGAAGACAGTATATCGTCATATTCAAATAATAATACTAATCATATATTAGCCATTGGTGATTTTAATGGCCGTACAGGTGAATTAGACGATTTTATTGCTGCCGACCATCTTGGTAATGTTGCAAGCAATTCACTCTCAAATATTATTACTTACCTGTGAACAATGAACTATGTAAACGTAACAGTATGGACCCTACAGTGAACCAATTTGGTAGATACTTAATTACCTTATGCAAAACCACTGGTTTACGTATAGTAAATGGGCGTCATTTAGATGACCCTCCAGGTAATATCACGTTTTATAGCGCGAGAGGTTCGAGTCTAATTGACTATGTTTTAACCTATGAATCTTTTTTTGAGAATATTGAAAGCTTTCAAACTGGTGTGTTCAATACGTATTCTGACCACTGTCCGGTTAGTTTCTCTATTAGAGTAAGAAAACGGAAGTTGGAAAATGACGATTGTCATGGGAGATCGGATATGGGTGTGAAAGTTGAGAATATTAAGTGGAAGGAGGAAAATGTTGATGAAGTTGTAAAAACAGTAGAAAACAGTATTCACGACTTATTAAATATTTGTGTCAATGTTGATCCCAGTCGAGAAAGTGTAAATAGCTCCGTTGATGAATTTTCAAACTTGTTAAATAGTTTAATTAAACCTTTTTGTACATGTACGGTTATTAAAAATCCTAGTGATGTAAATATTTTTTTATTGAAAGAAGACAAACCATGGTTTAATGATACATGTAAAAGATTGCACAGAGATTATAAAAATGCTTTGCATGTTTTTAATAATAATAAGAACGACGAGAATCGACAAAGTTTAATTATAAAGAAAAAGAGGTATAAAAAGCAAGAGTATAAACTCAAAAAGGAATACAAATGCCACCAGGGTAACATGTTGAATTATAATCTAAAAGTAGAAAAAGGCCGATATCAAAATATATCAAGAAATTTAAGAATATGTTCTAATTGTGATTTGAATGATATCGAAGACGAATTCCATTTTATATTGAAATGTCCCTGTTATTCGAACTTCAGAAGAAAATTTATGAAAAGATACTATTATAAAAAAACCTAGTATGTTTAAATTGATAGAATTCTTAAATGCAAACAATACAAACGAAATAACAAACTTGTCTAAATATATTAAGGCAGCTTACGTTTTAAGAGAAAACCGCAATTGTAGCCTAGTTTACTCTCTCCGGGTTTGTGTTGTTTCTGTGTTTTTTGTATATTGTTATATGTTTGTAAATCGTCTATGTGTTGTTTGCTTTAACCAATGAGTCACACGACTCAAGGTAATAAAGAACTTGAACTTGCCTAGTGTATAACGTACAGTGCGTAGTTTGTAATATGTCTTATACATGAACTTATATGTTTTATTTGTGTTATTGTAGGGTCTTTTGGTGAGTCTAAATAAATGTATGAAAGGAATGAATCCAGCGTTGTTTTATAAAACACTGTAGCATTGGAACCCGGCTACATTAATACTGTAAATATATAATATAGTTTAAATGCAGTACAGTACATCAATGGGACTGAGATAAATATTGGGGCATCCTACTGAGTTTATCTCATTAACATATAAACAGTTCAAATAAAACATTTGGAATGCTATACATGTTAATGATTAATATTTACTAGACGTGTGTAGCAATAGAGTCGAAAACAGGTAATATACATCATACGGACATTTCAATGTTTAATATTAATACATATACAATATACCATTAAAAGCAGACGTTTGAGGTATGTCTAATAATAATCTTTATTCATTTTACAACAATTGCGATGCAAGGTTTTCCAACTTGTATCAATCACTCTTGTTGAGTAAGCCAAGTTTGATCAGAATCCCCCTTTGACTTGTTAATGTGACGCTCAACCGATCGTCTTCCTAGGATAATACAAGATATCCTTATGCCCAGTTCCCGGCCTTAGTTTCTTCTTTATCTACATATCAACATTTCACGTAAGCTCTTGTACATCGAGATTTACAATAAAAAGTATCTACTATCGATTGAAATTGATGACCGATTCAACCTGTGATGTTTGGTGACCTATATCTTGACCCTTAACATACGATGTGTAAGTAAAAAGGAGCTAATATTACAGTGTAGTTTGATATTGGTGAAGTATTTGGCTACTGACGTTTGGTTACATGGATACAGGACTTTTAACGTAATTCTGTATAGTGTTATAGCGAATACTTTGTGTGATAAAAAAAATAAGAAAAAAAAGTACTACACTGTTGCCTAGTAACCAATAACAAAGTAACTTTTTTTTGTGAAAAACGTATACTGAAAGTGGATTTCAGCTTATGGACGAGGATCCTGAAATCACACTTTCACGCTGACAAACTTATAAGTGACAAACGCGATTTCTTTTCCTTGTCATTGTGCTCACTTATTACCTATTTTTCTACCGAGGGACTATCCCGTTATGTGGAACATGCTATATTAGAATTTTTACTTTTGTGACGAAATAGCTAAAAATGCCAGTTTATTAATTAATGACAGCTGATTAATAATTGATAATTGGTAGTATAAGATAGTATTAGTATAAACTATGTATGTTTTGGTAGTGGGAATATATCATCTATTTTTTTTTCTTGTTCTTAGGTATATTTTAAACCAGCATGGATAGAGTGGAGAAGAGAGAAGGCTAGTTATATCAATACAGTTGTATTTTAGAACCTCCTCCAATTAAGATTGAAATATTTTGTAATGGACATCTGCAATCATTAATCTCAACAGTCCGTGGAGATGATTGACATCTAATTGATATGAGAATCTTTCACTTTCTCTTACAGTGGTCAATAGTGAAAAGTTATGATTTTAAAGATTTAATTGTTTAACCTATTGTTTATTGTGCGAGTCTGTGTTGAAGTTAATAATACACGATAACCTATATAGATTGATACTTGAAACATTAGCATCAGTTAGAAACATGTTTTCTCTCTGTTATTACGTTGTCGATTTATTTGGAATATGGTATAGGGTCTGAGAGACAGATTGTACGTGACACTCAAGATGTGAAGATTGAGTGTGAGGGAAAGACCGCGCGAGCAGAAGAGTGAGCTGACATTAAGTTCCTTTAAGAACCGAACAACCGAGGAACATAAACACAACTCAACAGAAGTAATAGACATTCAACGACCAGACAAAAGAACGTGTCACTTTTGTGAAACACATTACTGAAGAATTCTACCATCTAACAATTATATCATTGTAGTGTTATATGAATGAGCTGCTACTGCAT